CTCGGCCGCAGCCCAGAGACCTCGGGTCTTATGTTGGGAACAGCTAGTTATCCCTGCTTTGGGCCCTTCTCGCTATGGAGCCCATCCATGCTGGTTGACTTTATATATATATTTCTTTATATTTCTTTTTTTCTTTTCTTTTTTTTTTTTTTTTTTTTTTACAGGACATGCTGGAAATGCTTGTCTAGGTAAGACCAGGTGCTACAGTGTATTTCTCAGGATTTTGGCGTTGCATAAGGTCAGCAGCAAGAAGCCTCTGCTGGGGAATCACATAATCATAGAACACCAGGTTGGAAGGGACCCCAAAGATCATCTGATCCAATCTTTCTAGGCAGAGCATCACCTAGACTACGTGTCCTAGCACCCTGTCCACTTGAGTCTTACACATGTCCAGTGTTGGGGAAGCCACCGCTTCCCTAGGGAGATTATTCCAATGGCTGACTGTTCTCATTGTGGAAAGTTTTCCTCTGGTGTCCAGTCAGAATCTCCCCAGGAGTAACTTGTGCCTGTTACCCCATTCTTTTCCATGTAACTCCTTGTAAAAAGGGAGTCTTCACGTTCTCTGTAGCCATCCTTTAAATACTGAAAAGATTTTCACCCCCTTTCTGCCTCAAGTCTTTGCATTATTCCCAAGGTGACACCATGCAGGATGCCTTTGTTTCCTAAAATTTAGTGTGTAGAACTGAGAAGCAAGTACATCAAGAGCATTTACTGGTTCTGGTAAGGAAAGCAATAGTAAAAGGGTATTAAGTGTAATTCAGAGCACTGCTTACCTATAGAACTTTTAGAGTCTTCAAGGCAAATCAATCCTTGGGAAAGCATCAGTATTTGCTGTTACATCTAGAATGAATTTAACCTTATGATTTTTAGGATTTGGTGACTAAAAAGCAAAGGGAGAGTTGGTTGTGGTAGTTTCCATTGCTGTGAAGTAGCACATCTGTTCATGTTAAAGGTGTCTGAAGTACACCTAGCGGGCAGTGAGCTTTATGTGAAAGTGTTCTCTGTCACTGTTACAGAGGACCCTTTGCTTGCAGAGGCAGAGAACCTCTTTAGATCAGAACATGAAAAAATAAAGGGCCTGAATGCTTTTCGCAGAAGTTAGTAGATTCTTGCTCTCACCCACTGCTGTGAAACTCTCTGGCCAGCGATCTTTATGTTTGCTGGCAGTTGCAACTGACAATATTGCTGGGGTTGCTGTTTGATACAGTGTGTTTTAAAAGAAAAGCCTGGGGTTGCAACAAAGTAGTGGTGAATGACTAGGGCGGCTTAATAGTTTCTCAAAGAATCTGCTTAATAGTTTCTCAAAGAATCTGCTTAGGGAATATTGCTGCTGGTGTTATCCCTAATAAGAATAAATTAATTATTATTGTATAATATTGGTAATTATAATAATTATTATTATTTAATTAACATTTTGAGAAGTGAATTTTAACTAGGCAGTTACCACAGGCTTTCAGAAGGCCTCTGATAGATATGCATACACAAAAATACATATATTTTGTGTGTGTGTCTGCATGTAGACACATATATTGCTCTTGCATAATGTGTGTCATTCCTTTGATACTTAAGTGTTGACATGTGATACGTGTTCATATTAACTGAAATGTCGACATGTGATACGTGCTCATATTAACTCAGTCTGCTAGCCCACAGGCACGGGTGTTATAAAATCACTTGAGTGCCAAATGAGATTTAAACTGTTGTTTTATGTAAGAGGTACAATAATTGTGGAATGAAAAACTATCGATGTCCATACTATCAGCTTATCTCTTGGTTGTCACCAGTGAAGCTGTAGCACTGAAAACATTTGAAAGATGCTAATTGCCCACAGTGTTTGTTATTGCTATGCTATTCCTATGTTATTTGATTTTTTTCATTGTAAAAACTGTGCATAAACTGTCTGTGATGCAGAAGTTAATGGGTATAGCATGTCTGACTTTTTAAAATTAGACTAAGACTTAATTTCTGTAAGTATATCTAAATAGACATCATTATGTTAAAGTGAAAATCTGAAAGTTTTAGTGTAATAAATATCTCTTGGCTTATCCTACAACATTGTGTGGGTTACTGCAACAGCCCTCTCTTGGACTGCTTTCACTTACAGTACAAAACATCAGTCTCAGTCATGCCGTGGATGGTGAGTGCTCCATACTGATTAAAATTTAGGATGTTATTTGCCAGAGATCAGCAGAAATCCCTTAAGTTTGCAAGAGCTGTAGCTAAAATATCATGCTTTTCCCGAGTGGTTAGCTTTCTCTGACTGAGCTGTTTAAATAATCTTGGTTTTATTTTAAAACATACTGGGTACTGACCGGTACTGTAAGAGGTGGGTTTAAGAAAATAATTCAGTGATAATACTTTGCATGAGTCATTAATCATGAGTCTTGATCAGCAGGCAGTGGTGTCCAATGTGTTTTCTAATCCTGCAGTTGCTGCTGCTCTTTATTACCATAGTGATAATATTAAAGAGCTGTTACTGCATATAACCACGCAGCTGAAAATGACACACATTTTTTTCGGTGGAATAAAATTTCCATATCTTAAATTTGGTTTGCTCTGTACATCTATTTATTTATTTATTTATTTACATGGGAAATCTAGATAGTGTGAAAGTGACCAAACAAGTATAATTTGGCAGGGAGGTTAACAGAATGGACTTTCCCCCCCCCCCCCCCGCTATTTTGTTGACACAGCGGTTCTCCCCCCCCCCCCCCCCCCCTTTGTTTTCAAGCCAATTACTGTGGCTTCCTAGAGAATTAAATCCAGTCTGCCTTCCTGTAAGGACTGGGGAGGCTTTGCATTCATTAAAACTTGGGAGCTAATTGTTCAAGCTATGCTTTGCACAGTTTTATTGCATGAATGTATGTTAGGGAATGACTACTGATGGAAGGCAGTTTCTCTCCTGAGAGCCTGAATATAAAAAAAATCATTTAGCTGAGAAATGAGCTTTGGAACCCTCTTTTCACTCTTAAAAAAAATAATTTACCAAGATTAGTAATTTCAAAAGTTCTGAAAGGTGATGGCTGGAGTGTTGCATACAATATTAGAATGTGCACAGGTTGAAAGTGCTGGGGTGATATTATTTATGAAGTAATGAATCTTGTATTGAATGAGATTTTAACTTGATTAAATTTTAGTTAGTTGTATTAATTTACACTTTAGCATAGAAAAGTTGATTGAAACAGATTAAAACCTTGAATTTAGTAAGGAACTTGGAAGACCCTTCAAAGTATCTGACCAGATGCTAAAAAATTATCCCTTTGCCTATTCCAGTGTGTATGACCTTATAACGCATAGATTCATATAAGCCTTACTAGTTTCTTTGTCTGAACTTGTGCAATTGTGTTGTATTGGTGGATGCAATGTGGCAGGACAGGTATGAATCTATTGGCATAGGTGGTTCTTCTCCACATCCCATAATGTAGTTGCTGAGCAAACTCCTGCTCTGTTTCAATGAGGATTATACCTGCCCCAACAGAGGCATTTTCCACTTTAATGAAGGATGGTACAGCCAGGGAGAAGTGTTCACCTAACAGGTTTATTCGCTTCTTTCATTATAAACTAATTGCCTGTGGGTTTTTTTCATGTGTGTGTGTGCTTGCTCATGTGTATATAATAAATGTTTTAAGATTTCTAAGTCAAGATGCCATGAACACAGCAATTTTTACAAGGGTAATTTTTACAAGAAAATATTTCAAAAGATGCTAATTTCTGCCTAAACTACTAAAATCACTTAATAAATCTTCTTTTAACTTTGTGGGAGTAATTCAAACTAAGAATTTTGCAAATACAGTCTGCAGTGATTTCTGTAGGCTTCTATGATTGCATCACCTTTACATTAGTTTCTGTTGTCCTGCTTCCCTCTCTGTCAGAGGACTAACGAGGTTTTCAAATATTTCACCCCTGCTTGTTTCCAGAAATGGTCATTTCTATGTGGAGTAATTTACTTCAGACTACAAAAGAAAGGATACTCCATCACAGAAGGATGTCGTTGTATAGCCAGGCTCATGGCTATGAGGAAGAATTGATAAAGAAGAAGCTTCAGGAGTTTCCTGGTGGATCCATCAATCTTTCCAAAGAAGACAATGGCATTGGAATACTTACTTTGAACAACCCACAGCTAATGAATGCATTTACAGGTATTAATTAGTTAATGGGATTGCTGGTTTGGTCTGGGTTTTTTTTTACTCTTTCAGTTACCCATTTTAGCATTTTGCCTAAAAAACCGAAAAGCTATGCCTTACCACTCCTTAGTTGAAAGAAGAAATGTTTAAGTTTTATTCAGATGTGCAGCAAATGCCCACTGTTCTGCATAGTAGCTTTGCCATAAGAATATAAGAAATTCTCAACAATACAAGGACAGTCTGGTAGAACATGTCTCTTCCCCCTTTTTATTTTAGTCAGTACAATTCTGCTACTGTGCTCTTTCTTGTATCTCATTTTGTTGCTACTACTCTGGGAACATATAAGGGTATTTTTAAGGTGTTGGGAAGATGCCATCTTTGTTTTGTAGGTGGTGTAGAAATGATGACTTCTTTGTTCTTTACCTAAAGCCTTCTCTGTAAACTTAAGCTTCTGTAATTTGGTCTTTTCCATTTGCTCAAACTGGTTTCTATTTCTTCTTCATTTGCTTTATGTCTTAAATACCAGTGACTGGTTAATTAAGATCAGATAAGCTGGCTATTCTCAGCTGCTGAGATCTGAGATCTATTTAATATAGTTTTATATTGAACAATACTTAGCTATCAAAACCAAGTGCCCTATTTTATTAATCTTGTATTATGAGAGGATTTTGACCTCCAAGATATTTGCTCTCTCTCCTTAACTGTCTAGAATATTCCAATTTATGCCATTCTCTTCAGTGGCACAGGTTCAGGGTCTGCATCTAACTGAGCTGGAACTGTGCATAAGCCTATACTGTAAGAATGCCTTTCTCAATATTTTGAAATGGATAATTTGTGTCATCTTGTTAATTTCTTTTTTGCTGTTCTATTTTCGTGCCTAGTTCTCACAGTTCCTTTGCTGTCAGCAAGTATGTTTGCAACCCACTAGCAAAGCATAGAGCTGTTTACATGAAGAATGTCAATCTACTTCCACTAATGATTGTTAGCTGAAAGGAAGAAAAACCTAAGAGAACAACAGAATTAGTGGTAATGCACCTAGATGTGTCTGCAGTTTCTCTTTTGTTTCCCTGTGAAAGCTCATTTATAAAAATCATTACCTAACTTGAGAAGTTGTAGCTGAAAGATGTTAGCATGGGGATTGTCCTTCTGAAGTCCTCCTTGTCAGCATACATGTTATACAATGATAGTTACATTGTTTCCTCTCTTTCTAACATATTGGGTTTTATTTGTCACTCAAAACAGAGCTGTGCAAGGTACAGCCTTTAGACTGTGTGCTCTTAGCTTATTTTGTTGTGGAAGCCCAGTGTGTTATTGAGATCAGATGTAATACAAGTCAAATTGCTTAAACTAAACTTCTATAGAAAATTACAACTATGTTCTCTGATTTCTGAGGGCTTGGGAGAAGGGGCTCAACTGATTTTTTGAAGTGCTGAGCAGTTGCAGCTGCTATTTAGGCCACTGGTAGCTGTGCTTTGACTATATGAAGGGCTATATAATGTTAATATACTGAAGTCATATCACACATCTCACGCTGGGCACCCAAGTTAGCAAATATTTTTTCTCTGTCTTAGTTAGAGGTCTGTAAAATAATTCCTTCTCTCCTTATAGGACTGCTGTGAAAATAACTTATTGGTGTATGTGAATTAGATGCTCTAGTAGCAAAGAAGAGCTACAAAAAACTGTGAGGAAATTAATAGTTTGTTCTTTCTTGCAGACCCTGATTAGCATATAGCAAATGAACCATGGGATCAAGCAGTTCTGTTTTACGGTAGTGTGTAGAGCCCTGTAGAGAGCAGTACTCCCATTTTGATAGGCAATAACCACAAAAATTTGCTGTGAAAAACCTTGCTATGGTAGTTCAGGAGATTACTGCTTCTTTCTAACATGCATCTCTGCTAGAGGCTTTTGTTGGTACAGGAGGGAGAGTAGACACAAAATCATGCTGGCCGCTTGGCCACTGAGGTGGATGGTATGGCGTGTTAATTTCTACTGCTCTTCATTTAATTTTAACATTACTGTCTGTAGACTATAGTTGCTTAGGAACTAGCAAGCACTTGATCCTTTTTGTTTTGTTGTGAATCAAGTAAAACCCCTCAGAAGTAGTACGAAAAAGGATGGGATGTGCAACCCTTGGATTGCCTCAGCAGAACTTCATCAGGCAGAGCCTGTAGATTACTCCCCTCAAATAAATTCTGTTGATTCTGTGTTTCAGAGCTTCTGGATAGCAGCAGATGTGAGTTTATATATAAGTGTACACTTCCTTTAGAAAGCTGCAAAACATCATTAAACTGTTGAGAGAAATCCTATTTCCCAGGCATTTACTTTACACAGCAGCTTTTTATCTCAAAGGAATTATGCTTATTTCTAAGCTTGAGCAACTCATAGAACCAAAAGCAGAACAAAATTGTTGGCAAATTGCTAATGGGCAATGTGGAGGTTGTTATGCCTTTTTCTCTTCTTAATTAGAAACTGATAGCCACCTGTTTGAAATGGTCTCTTTGGAAACAGATGCTAATAAGGTCATTTTAAGCCTGGTGGAACCAATTCAGCATCCCAGCCTTTTGCTGAACTTCATTAAAAAAGAAGGAAGCTTTTTAGCCTGCAGGAATTAGGTAATAACGGTGATAATTTTATTTTCTAGACTTGACTTTAGCACACTTATTCTCAGATTATAATTAAGATACAAACAAATTATCATTCCAAGTACGTTTATTGCTGTGAAGAGCACAAACTTACTAGTATCAAATACTGAAAGGACCAAGACTGTCAGAATGAGGATTTGCTTTAGTATTGTGTCCTCCTCACTACATCAAACAAGATGGACTGTATCTATTGGCAAAATAATAGTTCAGTATTGTCTGTAATGGAAGGGATCCTCTCCCAGGAGGGTGGGACAGGATCTCTTGTCTCTTGTCCCCTGCTGTTGCATGTAACTGGCTCGTATGGTTCCTTTCTGTAAACTCCATTTTTCAGTTAACTAGATTTTTGGTTTATAATACTCTGTGGAAAGTCTCTTCCCTACCTCACTGCTTTGACTGTTAAAAGCATCACCAACAGTGGTCGTGCTGTATCGTGATTTTGGCGAATCTTGGTTGCCAGCCCAAATACCTTTCTTGTAAGAAAACTTGGCAAATATGCAAAAACTGAAATCCACAGGGTTCATGCACACCTTTTTAAGCAGCAGCGTTTGCAGAAAGGTCATTGTTGAGTATACTGTCAGGCTGGGAAAGCACATCCAGTGAGGATCCACAAAAATCTTATCTAGGCCTAGTTCTGCTTAGCATTTTCATTCATGGCTTGGATGATGAAATAGAAGGTGAACTACTGAAATTGTCAGATGACTACAAATTAGGAGAGCTTGCAAGAAGATTATTATTTGGAGCAGAGGAGTGCAATTTAAAGTGATCACACAAAAATCATGTCCAAATTATAAATTAAGGAGGAAAAGGAACTGGTAGAAGTGCTGGGATTTGTTAGAGGATCATAGTCTGGACCTGACAGTGGAAAAAAACCCCAACCCAGTGTCATTCTGGTATGTAATACGTGATGTCCAATTAATTATTGCCCTCCTTGGGAACTTTGTCAAAATGTGCTCTTTTGGTGGCTGAGACCCAGCTTACTGTGGAAGTGCTTAACTGAGCATTTACTCTTCACCTGGTGCTGGGAGGCTTTCTTCATAAGGAACTGTAAAACAAACACGAAAGAAAAAATAATTCTCCCATGTGAGGATGGCTGCTAACAGGCAAATTTCAGAACAGGATGACTTCTGTGCATGCAGGCATGAGGTCAAAAAACCAACATTCTTGGCAGAAAAGGAAAGAGTCCTTGAGGGTATTAATGTTTCTGTCTGAATAAGGTAGACCTGTCCATCTAATTTCTTATCAAAGGAAGGTAAAGCTGAGAATGTCATCAGCCTGTATGTAGCCTGCTTTCTGAAATTAGTTTCTGTAAATGTTTTCTCTTAATAACATAACTGAATAGAGTTATAGGCATCCAGAGTGGAAGAGCTTTAAGTGAATGCTGGGTAAGCTCAGTTGGTGTGGAATATGCTACAGTCTAGGATGTGCTCTAGAAACAGGAGTTGGTAAAGTTTCGTGTCAGGAAGGGTACTTAAGTGAATATATTATGTTTAAGCTAGAAATAAAAAGCTAGTACCGTACGATCCATTTATTTGGAGTCTATGATATACTTTGTAAAGAGAGGCTTTCTAGAAAGGTACCAGGGAGGGAATCAAAGATGTTTTAGAAAGATCTCTTTTTTCTTTTTAAAAGATAAAAGACACTTTGCACCTATTTTCAAATATATGTTTATTTTCTTACGGATGGATACTTCTAAATGTCTTTGGCCTCCAACATAATTTGCTCCTTGACCTTTTTTTAGGACCGGTGTACCTTGAGCCCACCTTACGCATGATTCTTTTCTGTACTCTGCCAGTTCTCTGGGCAGGGTGAAATGGCAGTAACAATAAAACAGCTACATGGGCAGTTACAGGTGGATATATGTAAGTTCATGTGTCCTTCAGAATTTTGGGAAGTGCATCCTTGAAGAAAAAATGCATATCAGTGCTTGCATTTGGGATTTAAGGTGATGCTTTCCCTTGTGTTTTTAAGCCCGTCACTTAATAAGTTGGTTTTGATGGTGGAAAAAATGGTGATAATGATTCCCTCTTAAACATTTTGCTGCTTCCTTCTTGTGACAGGTACTATGATGCTGGAACTTCAGGAGAAGATAACCGAACTGGAAAACTGGAAGGAAGGCAAAGGCCTTATCATCTACGGTGCAGGAAACACCTTTTGCTCAGGATCTGATTTGAATGTTGTCAAAGCAATATCGAAATCCCAGGCAAGTAGTGATAAAAACAAAATTTTTGGAGAAAAATAAGCTTTCTGATAATTTGAGATCCCTTTGAGAAAGAGGTGTTGCACTATGATGCTGCTGCAATTTTACATGCAAGTCACAGAATGGAGCTTTTAATGGCTGAAAAAATGCTCGTAGCCCTTTTAAACCATGGCTTAAGTGTTATTGTAATTGATTCATAACTCTGAATTCCTATGTTACATATTCTTTTTAGCCTTTTCTTTTAAAAGTGTAATTTCAGTTTCTCAGAGCAGTGTATGGTGAATTTACACATCAGATAAGCTGTGCTTCAGTAGTTTGACCTTTAGCTGCAGATATAAGTAATCATTTCTCATATATTCTTAAGTCAAAACCAAATATAAGTGGTGTAGCTGCTGTTACAGAAAGGTTTCAATTTTGTCAAAACTGTGCTTGGACCTGCATAAAATGGAAGGACAGATGCAATTCTTGTGCTGTAGTTCAGTCAGGTGAGTCGTGTGTTACTGTGGGGTTGAAGAGGTCAGGGTTTGATGTTAACTTTTCACTCATGCCACCCACCTTGACGACTTTGACGTGTGCTGCAATTCTTTTTATTGGCTAATATGTGGTTCTTTGCAACATTTGAAATAGAACTTTATCAACTGCAGGGGAAGGGGGTCTTCCTGTGCTGCTCTTACATCCTGGTTTGCGATTGTGGAAACTGGCATTGTGTGCATATTTGTGGATTTAAACACACAACTCAAACATTTAATTGAACATTCCAGTAAGAACACCAACTCAAAAACTGATTAATCTTGTATTTGTCTTTGGTGATGATTTGTTTCTGTTGATGAAACTAAATATCATAAAACCCACAATGTCTTAAGTATTTATGACCTGATAAAATAAATAGGAATAGTAACAGAAAGAAGCTGCAACCACACATGGAGCCAATTCTTACCTGCAATCTAGGCTTTCCTTCAGACTTCTGCATTCAGTAATTCTCAGTGATTCTGCTCCCATACTCTCTTTGACAGTTAGTATTCTGTCTATATGTTTATACAAATTACTTGGAGCCACTGCAGTGGCAGAGAAGGGTCTTGGGTCCATAACAGATGTACTGGACAAAATAAAATGTATAGGTATTAATAATAACTTTGTTGAATATTCTTTTCAAAGAATCCAAATCTCATGCTAGTACTGAGAGTCTGAGTCAACAAAAGTGTTCCAGGAATAGTTAAACATTGTTGCTTTCTATTTCCTTGGGAGAATTTAAACTATCTATCCTGAACTGAGAGTTTACTTATACTAGCCAACTCTTAAACCATCTGTTTGATGGGATTTAATAGTCTTTATTAAATAAAATTTTCATAGAATAAGGAATAGCATTTGCTGTCCTTTAGTCCTACAGAACACTGCTCTCTAGCTCACTGCAGGTAAGAGATTTTTGTCTGGTTTCAGGTTAAAAGAGCATTAGGTTAAGTTTTCCGTTCACAGGCATCCCTAAGGCAAAAAAACCCTCAAACCAAACCCAAGAGTTAATAGCTTTGTGCCTGAACTGTTACATTTTTCCTTTATTTTTATGCAAGGCTACTTTAGCCCATAGCTTTCAGTAATTACAGAAAACACCTTTATTTTATTCAACCAATTGTTTGAGGGAAGATTGTATTTTTCATAATCTGCAATAGTTTGCCCTTTCCTGGGGTGCAGGAAAGGCAGAATAATGGCCAAGAATGCTGAAGGATATTCGTGCCCCCTAGTGGCTCTTCGTCCTCCTCTTCCTCTTCATCGTCTTCCTCTTCATCCTCCTTCTCCCACGTTGTTGTTCGTAACTCTGAAACAAACCCAGATCCCCTGCCTGATTTTCTTTGGTGAGCACTAGCATTATGTGACCAAATCACAGAAGGCGAATTAAATAGTGGATTTTTAATTATATATATATATATTTCTGTCTTTCTAAGCCTGGTTCCCAAGAGCAATAAACTCTTTCTGGAATGAGACTTGAAAAGCTGTCTAGCTGAAAGCAGGAGAGGCTCTTGAAAGGACAGCTGAGAGGGAAGAGGCATAATGGAGAATTCCACTTTCCTTGGTGTAGAAGCCCTAGAACTTTCCGAGCGGGAAGCCATAGGGGGTGGACTTTTTAGCAGTTGGAAATGGTCTGGAAATGCTGTTCTATTTGCAGTAAAAATGGACTCTAAGCTCTTGCAGCAAAAAGAGCCAGAAGTACAGTTTTCTACTTTATGAAGGTGACTTTCTTGTTCCCTGCTTTCCCTAGCCCCAATTAATCCTTTTCTTTCAAATGTAGTGCATACTGTATTTTACCTCACTTTCTGCTTATTAGATTTCTTCTTACTTCAAGGATGGTATTAGAACTGAAAATGTGATTATTCCACTAGACTGCAGTGAACACCTCTCTTATTCAGATAAAATACTCTGACTAGTAGACTTATTTTTCTTATCAGGAAGGTTTGAAGGGTATGTTGGCTGGGGCTCAAGTAATTGTGATTTGTTTTTTTCCAGAGTGCTTTCTGTGCCAGCATTTTTCCCATGCAATACACAGTACTCTCTCTACCACATGAGAATATGAAGACCTTTCTTTTTGTTTGTTCAGTTATAACTGCATTTATCAAGCTGGTCTGTTCTGGCATTAATCTTTAATTACCATTTTGGATTTTGGTATAAATTGAGATGGCCAATTTGAATGCAAGGACTCTGCTCTGGTGAAGTGAAGTTATTTTCTCTGAAGAGCTTTTTTGCAGCTTTGTCCTCATGGTTATAGTACACGAATTGCACAGGCCCATGTCCAAGAACTGGCACCTCATATGTTTGTGTGGGTTTTAAACTCAGCTGTTAAAACAGCTGTCAGGGAGGATTTGATTGTTCTTTAATTTGGAATAGAAATATTGCTACTAGTCTTAATGGTTGTAGGAGATGGCTACAGTGATAACTAAAATCCTCTCTGTAAATCAATGTGTGCTGAAATTTTCAAGCAGGCCTTTAGTGTAATGAAACTGAATTCACGTGGTTCCTGAGTAGCAATCATTGTGGCAGCTTCAGTCTGCCAGAGATCTGTCCCTGGACACCATAATGCTGGTCAGTGATGGGCAGAGTAGGTCTTGGGAACACATGACTAATGGACAGTAAATCAGCTGAAGCTGACTTACTGTTATTTCAAGGTCCTATTCCAAGATGTACTGAAGACTTACTGCGTATCTTTTCTTTCCCTGAGGTATGAGTCAGGAGCTTTTAGTTAAGACAGGTTCTTTACCTTATTGACCCCAGTAAAACTGTATATTAGAAATCAGTAAATATCGATAGAGATGTTTCTTTGTTCTTTTTCTTTCTACTATTAATTTAGGGTCTTTTTGTTTATTTTGGTTAGGGCTTTTGGGGTTTTGATTCATTGTTTTGAAAGAAATGCTGAAATTGGTATTTGCTGGGAGGTTTTACTTCTACAGAGTCCAAAAATATATATATATATATTTTAATCTGGAGTAAATGGCACATGTGTTTTTCAGTATGTATATGAACATGATCATACTGAGTCATTTAGCCCAGTCATTTGTCAAGTTCCTGGTTTATACTAAATGTCTGAGAAAGGGTATACAAACAGGGAAGGGAGATGGAGAATGATTTTGCTTCAAAATATTCTTTTAAGTCTCAGCAATTTGTGACTAAGACTGCTAGAGCTGGAGGTGTTACCTTGTATTTAATAACCTTTTGTCATTTTTTCTGTTGTGAGTTTATCTAGTTGTTCTTGAATTGATACAGGTTGTATGTAATGCATTGCTGCAAAGTGTGCCACAGTTTAACTGCATGTTGTAGGAAGAAATACTTGGTTTGAACATAGCAGCAACTGGTTTTATTTGAAGCCCCTTAGTTCTTGTACTAGAAGAGAACAATTGTAGCCTATTCACTATTGTTTTCAAGCTGCCATAAAACATAGAGGAGAGAAATAAGAAGAATCTTCTTTCTGTTTTGGTTTTGGTTTGGGTTTGGGTTTATGTTTGCTTTTTCTGAAATGCTTTTAGCCCAAACTATGGAAAATGAAGTTGGGAAGTTGATAAATTTTATATTGTCTAAAACTTTATGGATTTGGAACAGTAAAAGGTATGCAATGCTCTCTAGTCCTACACAGACTTTTAAAGCTCATCTTTATGGGTGTTTAACTGGGAGTGAGAAGTGGAAATTATGTAACTTTTCACATAATAGAAATTCAGTATTGCAATTACTTTAACTGTGGCTTAATTATAACTGAAATTCATATAAATTGATTGAGTTCTGATTATTTTTTTTTTCCAACCTGTTTTAGACCAGGTTTTCTATTTGTACATAAAGGGGTTGGGTTGGAATTTGGGCAAGATTAACTACATCAGGATCACTTAACGTTTTTTAATTTCCTATTCTTTGTAGGATGGGATGAATATGTGCATGTTTATGCAAAATACTTTAACCAGACTTATGAGGTAATATATTTTATTTACTCTTCTTTATGAAGTAATTATAATTATTGGAATACATGTTGGCTAACTCTTTAATACGATGTTTGAAGTTAAATACATAGTTTCAAGTATGTAATTTTGAATCCCAGACCTTGTATTTACACGTTAGTCAGGTAGGAATTTATGAATTTAAATTAGGCAACTATTAGACTTTCCAGAGATTGGAACAGGAAAAAAACCCTATAGCTTTCTATGTGGAGGACCAGGAGATACCTAGAATTAAGCAAGTCTATGCCATCAGCATTTCTAAAGCTGCATTCTGTAACTCAGTGGAAATCAGTAGCTCTTAAAAAACAACCAGGGACAGCTCATGCAGCCTACGCAGGTAACATTTATTTAATATATTTATTTAATCTTCCCACTTCATAAGAGGAATGTATTCAGTTCAACCATCTGGTACTTCTGAAAAACACTTTTTCCTTTCCTTTAGATTTAGCTTCCCTTAAGAAATCACATTTCTATTAAATCCATGTGTGGTAGAGCTTGTCTTTTTTTCTGCTCAGAGCACTTTGAGATAAATATGCTTTGTTTTCAAATAATCTATATGAAAAAGTGTTATGAATTAACATTATTCTGTAAAACTGCTCAGGAGATTGGAGACTTAATAGTAGTAGTTTTGTAAGGAATCCTCAGGATTAGAATCAATTTGTATAAAGTGGTCTCTGTATAATCAGAATTCATGGGGCAAAGCAAAGAGAACCAAGATGTATGAAGATTAAGCCCTTACTTCAGGTGGCTTGACTTAGAGTACACTGAAGCTGCAGTGCAGGGGGAGCACTGAATTGCTGTTTGGGCACATTTATTGTTGAGGAGACAAGTCTGCCTCAGGGAGAGCTGAGGCTGACTCTGATCCTGAAGGGGATCAGCATGTGGATGTAGGGGACTTGGACCCACATCATCTGGTTCACCATAGCCCACAGGAAATATTAGGTTAACCCTTTTCCAGTGGGTTCACTTGTACCATGTATTGTATGAAATGTACTGCAGCTGGCAAGTGAACAAAACAGCTGTATTGGCATGCAAATTCTGGGACTAATTAATTATCTTAATTTCTTAGGAACTTAGTTTATACCAAGTCAGTTACTCTTCATTAGTACTCATTTCACAATGGCAGTAGGGAAAGTGGTTCTCCCTACATACTCTTCCTTCCCTCTGTCCTTTGAATTACCTTGAACATGATTAAATACACTATTATCAAAGGTAACAGGTTGCTGCTATCCTCAAAGGATGGTTTTGTCCTCCAAAAGAAGAGTTTTATTGATGACTGAAATGTTAATGCTGTTTGAAGAAGCTGCCGAAGATGTCATGCTAAATCTTACTATTTTTAGATAACCCAGCCCTACAGTTCTTTGTGTCCGTTTCTTCTGTTTTCTGTAGCGTACTGGCTTAGAGTCTTGTGTTGCTGTCCTGTCACTCCTTCTTGCAGATAGTCTTTTTTGGTATAATCTATAGCAGGTTTTTTCATAACACAGTACATGATCTTCTTTAATTTGATTCCATTTAATACATCTGTCTTACTGTTTCATTTTGGGATTCCATGCCAATTACAGAAGAATCATTTTGGCATAACTGGAATTGGTATTGTGCTGCTTAGCCACAAAGATGTAGTTATTTGAATGAAATTGAACATATATATGTTCCAATACATATTCTTCTGAATAGATATTCAGTATATTCTTCTGAATATATATTCTTCTGAACATATATTCTTCTGAACTTCTGCTATAGAGATGGTTTGCTTGAATTCTTTTGTCATTTGTAAAAGACTATAACCATGAATTTTGTTTGCAAAACTCTCTTGTGTAGATTGCCTTTGATCAGTGTTGCACTAGTGCAAGGAAAAGCTGTTGGAGGAGGAGCAGAACTTACCACGGCATGTGATTTCAGGTAATATCACCAATTTGAGTAGTTGTCATGTTGGATCATTGATTTAACGACTGTACCTATGAAATGTGGGGAGCTTGAGGTACCACTTTTACCAGGAGTCATGGCCCTGAATTCCAAGGCATTTGGAATTAGGCTTTGTCGACAGACTTCACAGGGAAAAAGGAAGTTTGGATTTCCTAATAGTGCAGAAGAAAGATTATTTAATGCCAAGTTATACAGTTTGAATCACTGTGTAAAACAAAAGCAGTAAGGAGCTTTAGCAGCCGGCTATGTTATATACCAAGTGTTAAATACCAGGGGTTATATACCCCTGAGTGAGAGGTAGGAGGACTACAAAACTCCATATACTCTTATGTCTCTATGTGGCTGACATAAAAATAAATAAAACTCTCCCTTAGTCTGGTATTTTGTGTTCTAGGTTTATTATTTGTAACATAACTTTCTGTTGTACAGTTTTTCAAATGAGTTTGAGGTGCAGAGGAAAGCAAATGAGGTTCTGTTCGTATTATTTTTCCATGCAGGTGCAGGGATTTGCCAGCATGAAACAACTAGCAAAAAATGGAGGGTTTTAATTAAAGAGGCTGAATGCAGAACGGGAACTGGAAGAAACTGAAATAATAAAATGTCACTTTATTTAAACAGTTGCTAATGTGCAAACAGCCTACAGATGTAACAGGATAAGCACTGTGTGCAGCCTTTCTGAAAATGAGGAGGTTTTAGTGAGGTTTTCATGCAAGAGAAGGAAATGTGCTCTTTAAGAGGGCCTTAGTGCCTGAAGTGAGAAAGAAATTGTCTAGAACAAGCTGAAAGTACTTACACAAAAGTAATATTAAGCAAAGTAAACTAGAATATTACAATGCTGTTCCAGGAGTCAGGAACAGGCTTTGGATAGAGGAGATGGTATCTGTGTTATCTGAGCCACTTGGAAGCACTTCTCCTTTGCTTTGAAACTAGATGTGGCTAGATCTTTCTTCTTATCTACACATCTGAAACCCCAGCTCTGACTATGGCCTCTGAGTACAGGCTGTATTATAAATGCCTGTTAAAGATACAGAGAGGTACCGTGTTTGACAGCTGTGGCACTGACAAGAGAATGCACCTGGGAGACTTAGTAGACCTTTCTGTATCCAAGCCCGTTGACAGAAGAGAATTTTGTTATCCCTAAGTAAGAGTTTAGGGGATGTGAATATAATGAAATGGAAATCTTTTGGCTTTCTAAAATATGTAGTCTCTACTTTTACTCCAGCTATGCTATTTGACATACTGTGTAATTATAGTCATTGTCAAGTAGCTCTTATTTGCATGAATTGAGCAGCTGCAATTCCTCTGATGTACTGCCATAATTTTCATTATAGCTACAGCTGTTGATGCATCTTTGATTACTTTCTAACACACCCATCCAGTGCAACTAAATAATAGCAATTCAGGAGCAGCAAATGGGACTTAATTAATAACAGCAACAAGATAGAGAAACATAATCTGAGCTGCTGTTGCTGTTGTTGCTCCAATTATTTGAGATTTTTAATACTGGGGGACAAAATGAGTTTTTTTCGAGGACTGTGAGTGGATATTAATGGAACAGGTATTCTGCCCTGATTCTCTAGATGCCAAAAGAAGAACTTCAGAACAGAAATTGGAGAGGTTTGTTTTCTTCCTTGAATAAACTGTTTGGATATTTTATTTTATTTTTTTAAGAACAAAGTGAGTTGTGGCTGGCTTTAATTCTAAATTTTCAAATCGATTTCTATTTTTCATAGTTACAGTGTAAACTACGAAACTTCTTGGTATTGGTCTAAAATATTTTCTTATTTTTATCTTTGCCAGTTTACACTACATTAACTATACAGATATTGTTAAAGTGACTCATTGGAACCAAATGACTTATGTACCTTCTCTGAAATGTGCCCTGGCAGCATGATGCACATCTCTGCTAAAGCAGAGGTGTGGACAAATCCAATTTTAAAATAGCTGAGTTGGTTTAAGATATTACTAATCTGTTCTTCCAGTGGCAGTTCTTGTGGTTAGTTGTCTCTTACTCTGTTTTAAGACAGCTCATTTAAAATTGAATTAGGGAGGGCTTGCATGAACTCTGGCAGATTTATTGCTGGCATAAGGGCAGTGATGAAAAGTGAAAACCTCTTAGGTTGCTCCACCTTTGATCTGGAGAAAGAGGTCTTCTCAGAACATCTTACTGAATCTTAGCTGCTTTACGGATTGTTGCAGTATGACTCTCTGTAAGAGCAACATCTTTATAAAGATCATAAACATGTGATTGGGGTGGTGGGGGGTGAAATTATTGACCAGAGAAGGGCGAGGTAATGAAAACCCTTTCAGACTTTTTCTGATATGAATATTGGGAAGATAAGATTTCTGACACTGTAATAATCTCAATCATTTCTGTAAAGCTGAATAATGTAAAACTGTGGAGGTGTGAAACTTGTTCGGACATCTGAGCTTTTTAGTACAGTTTCATTAAGCCTGGGCTTTTTTCAGTATGCCACAGCTGAATATTCTCTCTCAGACTGTGAAGATGGCTTGTGGATTCTTCCGCCAAATACGTGTACGCTGTGGTTCTGCATGAAACTGCAGCCATTTCAGTGACATGCACAAATGACTGTGATGTTGGATTCAGTAATGCAATTTTACAAATAATTGAAATGAAGTACCTGTTCTGAGTTCCCTGTATGCAGAAACTTGAAGTGTATCTTGTACTTACACAATGCATGAAATTAAGGAGAACTGACTTGGCAGGGTTGGTTAAAGGAATTTGGACAATTGTAGTGGGTTGTTGGCAATAAACTAACAGATATGGAGCAGAGACAGTTTGGTAATGAATCCATTTGTGCAATTAGTAGATCACAATAACCTCTCAGGGCAGTAGCTGCAGTGCACTACCAGCCAGGAAAACTAACTTTGTTTCTGAGCTCTCTTGTCTTCTATTTCACTATGGTGCCTTCGAGAAAACTCGCTGAGGCAGTGTCTGTGTAAGTCATTTAGATACATCTATAACTATGAAATTTTGGTCCTATGCCACTTGGTGAATGGAATTCCATTGTATCTGAGTGCTGCTGGAAAATATAGTCTCTTCCGCACTACTCTCTTTTTCCTTCCTAATGCTACTGCAGTCAAAATAGAGGTGTGTCACTGCCGTGTGAATCCAGTTTAAAATGTGATATCTCCAGGCAGACAATGAGAGTGAAAAGATGCAAAGCTACCCATTTGTCTGACTACTGACCTCAAAATGAGCACATAGGTAGAGGCAGCAGTATTCTCCTTTTGTTTTTTTTACAAAATAATTAATCTACTATTTATTCAGCTGTAGTTAATGTAGTTAAATCACAAAAAGCCCATTTCATTACTCTTGTTAGTGCTAAGCAGTATCCTACTTCATAAAAAGCACCATTGATTTAAAGAGGTATTTGCTTTCTGAGCAGTCTTCTGCCCTGTATCTGTAGGAATGGCAGAATCAAGCTTTTAACAAGTGGAGAAGCTTATGCTAATAACACTGCATTTATCAAAGTGGCCTTGCTGCATTTTAATTGGATGTTTTCTGTATTTTTTTGTGAAATATGTATGCATGCTTAGTATTTAATTTTAAGATCTTAAGTGTGTTCTATAAAATGCATAATAAGAGATACAATGAAATTGACTGCTGTTGAATAGCTTTTGGGGTACCTGTTCTTGTTGTGACTTGTGTTTATTTACTTTTATAAGAGCGTGTTTAGTGCATTAAGTGTAATTTATACGAAATGAAAGTAGAAGATAGTATAACCAATACATAGAATAGATGTAGGCTCACTATGAATCACTTCTTATTTGTTGCTCCTTTCAAGAAAAAGAAAAAAAAGGCGGGGGAAAGCTGTAAACACTTTACTGTTTTACAGTAAGCTTTTCCTTATGGAAATAGGTTTCAGAATGTCAGAGCACAAAAGACTAGTTTCTTTGGAAATATTTCACTGTATGCAAGGATTTTGGCTTTTAGTTTATCAGGAGGCGCTTTTAGGTACACAAGATGCTGCTGTTTGAAATAAGAGTGCCTCAGTACACAGTAGCTCACTGAGCAGAGCATCATATGAATGTAACGGGACAAGGTTCACAATTGAGTTCTTGTGAAGTCCAGGCTGACAAAGCACTTTTCATTAGATGTGACTCTGTAACATTGCTGCACATTGTCAGAAAAGAATCAGGAGCTGAATCTGAGAGTGGGTTCTCACAGCTTCAGGTGTTTGCTATATGCCATAGATCACTTTAACTATATAAAATTTTCCTCTCTCTCTCTCTCTGTATATACATGTAAAACTTCCTTCAAATCAATTGGCAGTTTTAAAATTCCAATGCAGTCATGCTTCACTTCACATTTTTAGAGCCCTGGGAGTTTTGTTAGTACAATTTTCTAACAAATTTTCAGAGGTGGGTTATAGTTTTAAAAGTTTCACATTGCTTGCCTTTAAGAAGGCTGTTCTTATTTTTGACCTGCCACACTTGAGGTCTGCTTAAGTAATCACAGCACTGCTAGAAATGGACTTGAGAGCTTGTATTTTGGGGTTTGTATTTATGGCCTGGTATTGTTCTTTAATTTATTATCAGTTTTCATTTGGGTTTGATTTTCATGAGTTCACAATCTTCCAGGCAGAGGATTTTTTATGTAGTCCACAGTTCAAATTTACCACTGTTTGATGTTACTGGAAATGTAAATAACAGCAACAGAGCCTGAATTGGAGTTGATGGGGGTTTTTTCTGGGGTTGTCTTTTTTTAGGGATTTACTTCATTCTAAGTTGGGTTTTTTAATTTGGGAAGCCAAACCATCTTATCCTGGGTGAATGAGATTTTTGTTACCAGCATGTGTCTATATTTTAGACCACTTCTACCATGCAATCTTACGTCCTTTCTGTTGAACAATCCTGCCCACAGCTGATTCTGTGCTACACAGGAATAATAAACAAAGAAAATGGAAAACTTAGATAAGACAGATTTTATGGAATGCAGAGCTGGACCCATG